AGTTGTCTTACTTGATAATTTCTTGCTCTGGTAACAAAACATTGTGATTGATGGCATTGTTTTCCTAAATTGTGTACCTGTCTGTGGGATTGCACTCTTCTCTTTTTTCCACATGAACGATGTAAAAATAAAAATGCTTGGACTCTGCTAGACGTATTATTAAGCAAATATTTTGAGACTTGTCTATACCAAATACCAAATATATGAGTCTGTCTGCTGGAGACTTTGGGAAATTCTGCTTTTCTGGTGTTGGCACCAACACTTTCTCCTTGTCACTTGCTGCTTCTTCCCTGGAATATGGATGTAACTGCGGGAGGTGGAACGGCCATCTGGCAACCACAAGGTAACCATGAGCGCGGTCCCCTCTCTGGTTTCTCCCCAGCTTCCTCATCTATAACACGAGAGGTTTTTATTGCCCAATATGCATCATTCCTTCAGTCTTTAATATCTCTTCCACATCTCATTCCCTTCTCCAGGCCTTGGCACCTCCATGTGCTGACTCCACAGGCAACTTCTTTCGTTTTCCAAATGTCCTTTTCCAAGTTTACCTCCTCCTCTGGGGTTCAGGTTCCAAGAGTTCCAGCCTGGACCCTCCTTAACATGTGTCCACCTGGCTACTTCCTTGAAAACTGCATTTTCCCGAACGACAAGTGACTGACCGGCTGACTTCTTAGCTATAAGTTATAGTTAATAGTCAGTGCTATAGAACACTGACTGGGGAACTTACTCTCCAGAGCAAGGAACTGTTGGGCTGATTTAACGTCTCACCGTGAGCCCGATGAACTGACTGACCCGTGGAATAACCGTGTGCACCACCACTAAGTGACTTACCGGGAAGTGACAGAGGTGGAGGAAGGCTAAGTGATTAGTTGCCTTATAACCAGCTCATTAGACTTCTTTGGTGTCTCCAAGCTTCACTAACATCCCACCAGCCAGAGGTCACCTGCGGATACCCGCTCACCAAGAAGCAGTCCTCCAAGCCCCCAGGCCGCCCCACCCGCATGTGCACCAATGAGCATGCGCCGCGAGTCCATCAGGAGCCAATCCAGGCCTGAGGATGCGCGCAGGGGCCGCTGAATGGGGAGGGGCCTCCTGGGTTTCCAGTGGCTGAGCCAGTCTGGAACAACGGTCACTACTGGGAACCCTGGACTCTAGCTGGGCCTCCCCCTCCCCAGCCCTTAGGAGAACCATCTTTCTAGACTCCTCCTTGAGCTCAAGACTCGAGGCCAATCAGTGGTTAGGGGACATTTTTCCTCCAACCATTACTTGTGGGGAAGCAGGTGATGGGCAGATTGGCGGCCATTGATCAAGGAACAAAATGCCAAGTGCACGGCCCTCATGGCCAATCAGAAGGCGCCTTGGTACCCCCTTGTTTCCTGTCCTGCGACCAAGGCCCGACCCGAAGAAAACGACACACACACAGATGACCCAGCTCTCCATTTTCATGACAATCCGGGCCTGACCTATTTCCAACCCAGTTCCCATCCTTTTTCTCATTCTCCTCCCCTTCCTCAAACCTACCACCCTCCCTCTCCCACTCCTTGTCCACTCCTCCCTGATATAGGACTTGTTTCTTTGATAGAAGCAAACTTCAGACCTATAATAAAGGATCCTATCTTCAACTTAAAACTTCTGTTACACAATATTCTCACAGATGAAGTCCTGATGAATAGGAGCTCTCTTTCCAGGATTACCAAAAACTTGAGGCAATAACTCGCCCCGAGAGAGGCTAAAACTTGAACTACTCACCTCGAGGCCCTGAAAGGTCTCTCTCCTCGGCAGCTCACCCTCAGTCTGAGCTCCAGCAGCACAGACCCCTTCACTCCACTGCCCATCTGGGGTTCTTGAACTCATCAAACCTCTCCCATCTCAGAGCCCAGAACCTGCTCTTCCCTCTGATTAGCTCCAAATAGTTTAGGTCTCAGCAGAACTGTCACTTTCTTGGACTTTCTAATCCACACTAGGTTCCTCCTCTGGTCTCTTATACGTGTTCATATACCCTGTCCTTCTTCTTGGCACTTATCATTTTAAGTTATTTTATGTTTCTTTCTTTCTTCATTGTCTATGTACCTGTGGGATTGCACCAAGAGCTCCACGGAGGCAAAGTCAGTGTCTGGCTTGTTTGCCTCACCTGTGGAATGTTCGAACTGCATGCAAGAAAGGTGCCCATACATGTGGGGACTTTATATATAAAAATCTACCTTGAGTACAAGATGACCATCTCACTGGTGCTGAGTGAAGAACCACTGGATTGACTCGCAAATAATGCCCCAGGGAAGAGATGACCCTTTTTTCAACACATGCAAATCACTGGCCTCTGGCGCCAGAAAGGTTGTCATCTACTCTGAGGGGAACACTTTGCAGCCATGGTCCATTCTAATGCCAGAAGCCCACTCTCATTCCTTGTATGCCTACCTTTCAGCCTGGCCAAGAAATACTGCAACAACCTCCTAATTAAGTTCTTTGCCTCCAGCCTTATCTGGTCACCCCACTTCTTTGCTTCAAATCTTCCAGCAGCTTACAATTCATCCATCCATTCAATTATTAAACTATCAAATTATCAAACTATTAAACTATTGTGAGAGTTTATTTTAGGCACTGTTCTAGGTGTAGAAAAAAAGAAGACAAGATCCCTGTTCTCATAGAACTTACATTCTAAGGGAGTCAGAATAAAGTCCTACCAGATAAAGTTCCACTGCCTTACGTTGGCATTCATGGCCCATGTTTGTGTCTTTTCTCCACCTGTATCTCTGGACACCACTTTCCACTGACTCTCCATCCAGGTACACCTCAGGTGAGGATGCTGAAGTTCAAAGTTAAAAGTTCAAGGGTGGTCTTAGCCGAGACATATGACCACTAAGCACTGAAGTTGGGATTTAATCCATATACTATGGTTTCAAAGTTTGGTCCTCTTGTATGTATATCCCAAGTCCTGGGCACACAGTAGCGGCTCAAAAGCTACTTTTTGGTGGATCTATTTCATAGTCCAGTGTTTATTTTTCCTTCGATACCATTCCAGGACAGGGCTTCTTTCTTCCGGCTAAAACAACAGTTCGTAGTTTGCTTTCACAGCTTCTATCATCAGGTCCAAGAGTAACCCTATTCGATGGAGAACCTGTGTGAAGGCCTGGGCGGGGGGCTTGAGAGGCCTTTGTGAACTGAGACTCAGGGGCTCCAGATTTGCTATAGGCTCCTGGTTTCCAGGGCTTTAACAATTCCGTGGGATACTGGCCAGTCCAGGTGTGAGTGAGAGTTTATTTTAGGCACTGTTCTAGGTGTAGAAAAAAAGAAGACAAGATCCCTGTTCTCATAGAACTTACATTCTAAGGGAGTCAGAATAAAGTCCTACCAGATAAAGTTCCACTGCCTTACGTTGGCATTCATGGCCCATGTTTGTGTCTTTTCTCCACCTGTATCTCTGGACACCACTTTCCACTGACTCTCCATCCAGGTACACCTCAGGTGAGGATGCTGAAGTTCAAAGTTAAAAGTTCAAGGGTGGTCTTAGCCGAGACATATGACCACTAAGCACTGAAGTTGGGATTTAATCCATATACGATGGTTTCAAAGTTTGGTCCTCTTGTATGTATATTCCAAGTCCTGGGCACACAGTAGCGGCTCAAAAGCTACTTTTTGGTGGATCTATTTCATAGTCCAGTGTTTATTTTTCCTTCGATACCATTCCAGGACAGGGCTTCTTTCTTCCGGCTAAAACAACAGTTCGTAGTTTGCTTTCACAGCTTCTATCATCAGGTCCAAGAGTAACCCTATTCGATGGAGAACCTGTGTGAAGGCCTGGGCGGGGGGCTTGAGAGGCCTTTGTGAACTGAGACTCAGGGGCTCCAGATTTGCTATAGGCTCCTGGTTTCCAGGGCTTTAACAATTCCGTGGGATACTGGCCAGTCCAGGTGTGAATGTAGTTTTCCCAGGGTTTGTCAGCCCCAAATTATCTTGCCTTTTCCTGGAAGTTTAGGATAATGTGTCCTGGAGAGCAAAGAAAGGTTGGAACAGGTTCAGAGATGAGGTAGCCAAACCTAAAAGGACAGAATTTGGTCCCCCCTTTGGGCAGGCATTGGCTTCACCTTTTCTTGAAATTCCCTGGTGGGAGCCTGAAACTGTGTCTTCTCCTGCTGGTCCTCCCCATGCATTCGCACCAGACTGTTCCCCAGACTCCCTTGGCAAGTTTGGCCCGCTTCTGCAGGTAGGTTCAGCCCCCGCTTCCTCTGGGCAACCAGAACCCCAGCTCAGCCTTGTTACTGGGAGGGTGCCTTCCCCACCAGCTTGGGGTGGACCCACTTCTGAGATCCCCGAATTGCCACATGGATATTAGAAAATACTGCAGGAAATATTGTGGAGTATTACAGATGCATGCTTTATACAAAAGAACACCAGTTCCCAGTGCAGGGTATAAGGAGAGCAGGGCTTCTGGTCCTAGAGAATCGTCAAGTCAATGGTAAATAACAGTGAGGCTCAGCTACCTCAAGCACTGTTTCCTCCAAACCCCGCTGAGGATATGGGGTGCAGGGTAAATGAAGTAACCCAGGTTTAGTCGGGTCCTCCAGCACCTCGGCTGATTTGGGCCTGTGACATCTATAGACTGTGCTGATGTAGACTGCCACTCAGAGACCAAACCCTTTGATCCTCACTCTAATGCTACAACTGCTGTTAGAGGTTCTCTCAACCCTCTTCTCAATGGGGACACAGTGTCACAGTGTGTGTGTGTGTGTGTGTGCGCGCACGCGCGCACGCGCGGGCACACTTAAGTTAATTAATGCCTTCCAGTCATGGTTTAAAAATATCTTTGTAACATTCATATATTTGAGTGTTCCAATAACTTTGTGAAATAGAAGGGAATTATTATCTCATGATGTCCTCCCCCCCCCCCCCCACCCTGAGCCTAGGTTCATCATCTGTGAGGTGACAGTCAAGGACATTCGGGCATGCGATAGGATGAGGAGGGTAATTCCTATGGTAGACTAGATTCCAAACACAATGGGTACCCACCACACGCTGGCTCCCAGAAGACGGCATGATTGTGGATTTTCCTGGTTCCTCGGGATTCAGAGCCATGTTGGATTCTGAAGGGCTCATTTCTGCCTTGATCACGGCAATTTTCTTTGACAGAGTCTTTTTGATGTGGTTCACTCTAAGGAAATGACCCTCTGGATCAGTTCTGGCTCTCCACCCCCCAGTCCCCCCAGGTGGTCTGTGGTCTTAGCAGTTCTGGTTTAGAGCCTCAATGACACTACCATCTTGTCGTGTTATCTAGGGTGAGCCACACCACTCTCTGGGAATTAGTTTCATATTTCATACAAGGGGGCCACCTTGCCTATCAGCCTGTGGAGCTCAGATGAGGTCAGCTATGAAAGGGCTTTGCAAACTGTAAGGAACTGTTGCTGGTTTTTTAAGTCCAGCTGACTATTCTTTGAAAATGGCTCACCAGTTGGCCCTGCCACCCTGCTCCTCTTCTTTCTCACCTGGGATATCCGGTCACAGCCAAGTCCCATGTCTCTGACTGCTCCTCATCACTTGCCCTGGCTCAGCCTGGCTTAGGCCCCAGGCCTCCTGACTCTCCTTCTCTGGTCTGTGCTCCACCCCAAGCTCATGCTTTTCTCCCCAGCTTAGCCTGCTTCCATGGCTCCCAACTCAGGATTAAACCCAAGACATCTGGACAGGCCAGACTACTCCCCACCCCAACGCCCCCTGAACCAAACTCTGGCCTGACCTGTGGTAACTCTACTTTTCTCACTCTAGGCTTCTAGCCAACAGGTTTAGCCATTTAAAGAATCTTTCTGAACTGACACAGAGGGCCTTTTACACCTTTACCTTTGGCCATTATCTGCCACTCTCAATGCAACTAACATTGCATGATGTCACTGGGGATTCCTCAAACACGTCCTAGGGTCTGCATAGACCACTTTACACCGAACAGCGAGTGCTCTGGCCCCCCAGATCCACTATAGACAGTACCCTGGGGACTCTGCTGTCTTCTCCAGGGATGCCACTCCCTCCTTTGCCTTCTCCTCTGAGATTTGCTGAAAGCCCCTGTTGCTCGGGCCTGCTTGTGACTTCGAATAGTCCTGGTGGCCCTGGATTGTGGTGACCATGTGTGATGCCTCTTTCCCTTGCCAGGCCCTGAGCTCCTGTCTTTGCCCGCTCTGTGCCAGCACCACAGCCAGGCCTGCTGAGTAGCAGGCTCTGGGAGAGGCTGGCTGGTGGGTTTTAACTCCAGTACTCACATGAGTGGGATGAGGCAGAGAAAGAGCACAGTAGTTGCAATGACTCCATAGACAAGGCCCTGGAAGAGCCCGCTGATGAAATTCTGGGTAGCCAAAGGACTCTTTACTGGAAGTAGACAACATATGAGAAAGGCTTCTCTCCCTCGACCTTCAAATTGAAGCCAAAGCTCTGCTTCCTCCCCTGGCCCCAGTGCCCATCCCCATCCCGCTCTTCCTCATCCTCACTTGACATCAGTATGATATTCATAGAATGGTTTCCATAGTCGTTCTTCCCCTCACAGAGAAGGGGTGTGCCCATGTCTGGCATCTCGGTCAGGCTGATGGTGGTGTTGCTCCAGGGGGCAAGGATGGTAGAAGTCACCTGGGGGTTGTCTATACCAAGGATATCACCTTCCAACCACCACTGTACAGAGGGTGCGGGAACCCCATGGAAGGAGCAGCTGCACTGCAGAATCTTCTGCAAAGAGCAAGAGGAAGAGACCAGCTTCGCAGGTTCTGTGGGGAGGGAGGACCAGGAATCGGCAAGGCATCCTCACTTCCCTTCTTCACTTTCTCTAGGATCCAGCCTTCTCCTTATTTGTGATTCACAAGGAACTTTGAAAGACTTTCTGGAGGCCCAGAGGAGTTGAGCCTCACAGACCTCTCTCCTCACCTGGCCTGAACCTGGAATTTTCTGGGGATCTACATTGCATACAATCCCTTATCTGTCCCCCTAGGCTAGACTTCCTAGTCTCAGCCCCCATTTCCCCTATTTCCCCTCTCTCCCTCCCATCTCCACTCTCTCCTTGGGCTCTGCCCCTCCCCTGCTCCATCTGTGATCAATTTCTCCCTTCATCACTTACTGCCTGGATGCTGTGGGGCAAATCACTTCCCCCCTCTTTGCTCTTGCCTAGTCTGGAAAATAGGGATGCTCACTGAACCTGTGTCATACTATCATTGCTGCAGGGATGAACGCCCTCATGTTAGCAGAATTCCTAGCTCAGTGTGCAGTCAAGCATTACCCATTCAGTAAACAGATGCCTTTCTAGAGTTTCTTCTTCCCAACCCCAAGTGGACATGGCTTGAGCATTCATCTAAGGCAAAGACTGCTGTGACACCTTTTGGGTAACAACATCTGACGCTGCCTCACTCTACAGAGAATGGGTGGGACATATTGTCCACCTGGTGAATATCATGGCTTAGTGAGTTGTCAGTCCTTAGTGTTTTTGTGTACTTTTTCATTGGTGTTGGTTGAGGTTACTGGAGGAAAGGGGTCATTTCCCCCTAAACAATAACCCTGGATCTTGGTCTTTCATCTCTGGTTACTTGAGGTAACACGGAATTTGCAGGCCTGGTTATGGGTGATGTGTAGCCTGTCCTCCACTGCTGTTCTCTAGATTATTTCTTTTTTCCATCCGGGAAAGCGAGCTTGTGGAATGCCTGACTCCCTGTGAGCTCCCAGCGAGTGCCAGTGAGATCCGAAACAGCTCCTTGTGCTCTCTTATCTGCAGACCACCCTCACCTCCCACTCCTCTCCCTGGCCCAATCTGCTACTTGCCCCGGACACCACCAGCCCCGCCAGAATCTGACCCACAGATGTCTGATCCGGATTGGTTATTTGATATCCTACACCCCCGTGTTCTCTTTCCTTGTGCTCCCAGAGCCCTCAGCTTCCTCAAACACCCCAGCATCGCTTCTCTCCACCACTCACCCAGACCTTTGGGCGGCGCCACCTGCTGCAGCATTGGTGGCTCTCGGGGACCGGAGAAGCCCAGGGCCTTTCCTGCAGCCAGCTCCGACCTCAGAACTGTGTAGTCCAGAAGGGATGAGAAGATGAGTAACTGAAAGAAGATGTGGGGATACGGGGAGCAGAAAGTATTCTTTTTAAAAAAATATACATTTTTATTAATTTTTAGAGAAAGAGGAAGGGAGAAGGGTAGAGAGATAGAAACCCCAATGAGAGAAAAACATCATCAATCCACTGACTCTTGCATGTCCCCTACTGGGGGTTGAACACACAAGCCAGGCATATGCCCTGACCTCTTGGTTCCTGGGTCAATGCTCAACCATTGAGCCATACCGGCTGGGCCAGAAAGTATTCTTAGCAAGCCAGGAGTTTCTGTCTCTTTAGTCATCCTGAAGGCCAGTCCACCCCGAGAAGCAGGAATTACATGGGAAATGCTCAAGAATATCTAGGGACAGGACAGCCCCCACCAATCCTCTGTGAAACCAGGTCTCCTTTCTTCTCTCTCCCCTAGTCTTTTACTCCCAGTCCCAGCCCCCTTGGAGGGATTCTATTACCAGATCCTTTGGGTTCCCTCTAAAAGCTAATGGAGATCCATGGGAGGCTTGTGTACTATGGAGGGACAGGATCAGGTCTGCAAGTTCCAAATATCCCACTGGGGCCCATGTGAGAGTCAGCCTGTAGGGGAAGCGACTTTCCAGGTAGTCAGAGAAGAGACTGGTGTGCTGGTATGGAATGAATGACACTCTGGAGATGGTGCATGGGCTGTGAGGGATGGAGAGGAGGGGCCAGACTTAGTAGACCTCTGGAAGAAGAAAAATGGACAGGAATTACTACTGCTGATAGGAAAAGTTCCAAACTTCCTTGCTATGCAAATAAGGTTCTCTACAATTTGGCTGCACCCATGCCTCATCTCCCTCTGTGCCTTTTCCAACATTTCCCATGCCTTTTTAAAATTTCACTGTTGATTATTCAATTTTTAAGAATGTTCATAGGTGGCTGTAAACACATTCATTATTAAAAAAGTAAATTATATAAACCTATGGTTAAGCAAATTATATTAAGAACAAAGGTAATAATTACTCAAAACCAATTACTTCTAATTTTTCTAATACATTTTACTGTTTTCAGTGTTCTTGAGGTAGATGTATTATATCTGTAGGATGGATTTCTAATACATTTTACTGTTTTCAGTGTTCTTGAGGTTGCGTAGATGTATTATATCTGTAGGATGGGAATACTACATAATGTATCTCTTCCTAACTCTACATCATGGTTGGTAGCTAGAAATGGACTATGGGGCGAGTATTTACACAGTGGAAATGGGCAATACTGTCATTCAGGGCTTCCCCTGTCCTTTGGAAATCTGGCTATTAAATATTTACAGCACAGCATCACTAATATTTCCCACTCAAAGGAAGTCATTTACCTTGGAATTGCCACAGCTTTTAGTCAGTTGAGAGCTATTCATTGGTACTACCCAAGTGGCAAGAGGATCTGGCTGACCCTCAGGTGGTTCCAGAGTCGGTCCTAAGAGCAAAGAGGCCATCTGCTCCTGAATATGATGACTACCTCCTCACACTCCCTTGCTAGAATGTTCCTCTATAAACCATTTTCATTTTGTTATGGAACTCCTCTGGGCATGGCCTTCCTTATTAGCGGATTTATTCAACATTACCCAAGACGTCATGGGTATTTCAGGTTTCAGTATTCTTTTATGTCTTTCAGTCATAGGGGCAGTTTCAATTAAAGCCCAATAGCCACCTAGTTGTCTCTGAAATGGAAATTTTCTGGCCAAAAATCTCAGTGGTTGCCACTGAGTGGTGCTCACTGGCTTTTGCCACAAGAAAGGACTCCAAAATTTCTTTCTGCTAGTTTTATAAAGAGAGGATAGTAATATTAACAGGTATAGACTATGTGTCTCCCAACATCCAAATAAGCCAACCAAACACTGAGCTTCTCACATGTATTTTTTTTTCCAGTCAGATATCCTATACTTTTCAAATTACAACCTGCTGGCCTTGGAAAATCTTATTGGTTCTCATTTACCATGTCCTGTTTTATAGTGCTAGGTCAGGAAATGTGTCCCAGTTAGACACAGTATCTATTTACATTCAAATTCACTTCACATAATATCTGGTCCATCTCTCACCCTAATCCCACCAATGCCTGCATTCCCATGTCATCCCAATCTAATGATAACTCCCACTGGGACTCACCAACAGATTTTAGAATCATGGGGCTCCCACCTTAAGGAGTCCCAGGAATATCTCTTCTCATGACCACTTTACCACTAATGTGCATATAGCTTTGAGCCCCAGCAGGGGGTGGGCCAAGGAACCCAGGCCCTCTTATCAATCTTTATCTTGCTTAGATTATATGAGACTACCACCTCATGCAATTTGATTTTTAGAGAGGGAAAAATGTGTTTTTCTTCACATCGTCACATCACTTCTTAAGTTTGGCTTTTTAAATTCCCTCCAAATGAGGGCAAATAGCGCAGACTGGACTAGGGGCCTTGATGCTGGCGTTTCTGCTGGCCTACCCAAACTCAGAGAGTGCTGCATTGAGACCGTTGTTTTGACTCCATCAATGTTCACTTCATTCATCCCATTTCTTTTTATTTTTTTAAAATATATTTTATTGATTTTTTACAGAGAGGAGGGGAGAGGGATAGAGTTAGAAACATCGATGAGAGAGAAACATTGATCAGCTGCCTCTTGCACACCCCCTACTGGGGATATGCCCGCAACCTTTGGTACATGCCTTTGGTACATGCCCGCAACTGGACTAGGGGCCTTGATGCTGGCGTTTCTGCTGGCCTACCCAAACTCTGAGAGTGCTGCACTGAGACCTTTGTTTTGACTCCATCGACGTTCACTTCACTCATCTCATTTTTTAATAACTATTTATAAAAATTTCCTTCCTGTTGACTTTTTAAAACTTAGTAAGGAAGTTCTTTTTTTTAAACGTTATTTTTATTGTTGACACCCCTTCATCTTTTTTCATTCTCTTGTGAATTGCTCTAATTTCCTTTGCTATCTGTTGTTTCAACGTAACATTTTCCTATAGTAGGCCAGCAGCTGTAGCTCAAATTGGACAGAACCTGGGACTGGCCCAGTTTCAGGATCCACCCCAATCCTTTCCTTTCCTTTCCTTTCCTTTCCTTTTAGTTATCATGTATAAAATTAACCAAGGGATTGTGTATTAAGCTCCTTTCCTGTTATTCTGCACTTCCTCATGCATCTTGGGGATTGGGTCCATAATTTTATAGAAATTATTGGTAACTTTCACCTCCTGTTACTGATTGCAGAACAGTTGTATTCTCATACCTGTGGGTGACCTTGGGACCATTCAGGAATCAAAGGTTCAATATCCCCTGACCTCACATCCTTCCTCTTCCCAAACCATGTTTCAGTGAGCCAGGTCTGTTCTCCAGACTCTCACTTCTGATGCCAACTACGAAGTTAGGAAACAGCCCAACAAGATGCCTTCACTTCAGACCCCAGCTGCAGATTCCAGGGGGTCTCTACAACCACCCTCATTTCTGATACTGACTTCAAGCTTTAAAGCCTCCAAGGCTATGCTTAGGTTCAATAATTCACTAAAATTACCCACAGAATTCACCAAAAGCTGTTATACTCGTGGTCGCTGTTTATTACAACCAAAGGATATGGATTAAAATCTGTTAAGGGAGCCCTAGCTGGTTTGGCTCAGTGGATACAGCATTGACCTGTGGACTGAAGGGTCCCGGTTTCGATTCCAGTCAAGGGCATGTACCTTGGTTGCAGGCTCCTCCCTAGCCCAGGCCCTGGAGGCAACCAATCGATATTGCATCGATATTTCTGTCTTTCCTTGTCTAAAAATCAATGGAAAAATATCCTTGGGCGAGGATTTAAAAAAACAAACAGAGGGTGGAGTCCAGGAAAGCTCCAACCTGAGAGCTTTCAGCTGTCCTCTCCCTATGGAGTCATGGAGAGTATCACTCAAATATCCAGGGAATGATGTGTGACTATGAGCACAGAGAAGGACAACCAGAGACGCTCACTCAAGCCTCATGTCCAGAGTTTTTATTAGCCCTTCGTCTTGTGGGCGTGGCTGACGGTCCCCATGGCTGATCCTAGTCTCCAGCTCCTTTTGAAGTTGAGCTGATGGCAGGTGATCCAAAGACACCACTTTAAATCACATTGTGAAACCATCTGGTGTGGCCAGCCCCTGCCCTTAATCACATTTTTAGACTATTTAGTGGGATGCAAGGCCAACAGGCAAACAGATACTCCTATCAGGCATGACATTCTAAGGATTTAGAATGACCTCCCAGGAGCCAAGGACAAAGGCCAGAACTCTCTTCAGGCTTAGGTTAAAGTCCTTACTACACAGAATGATAAATGGCAAAATCAAGGTAGCAGTTCATTCTAGGTTTGAGTGGGAGATGTATTTGGGGTGGCAGGTACATGCTCTTGTTGCACCATTTTTACACCTTTCCGTATGTCTGAAATATTTCATAATATTTAATGAAAATATAATCAGTGGTCATTTATGTGAAAGCTTCATATATATGTATTATACATAAATATATGTACTCATACATATTTATATACTCACATATAATACATTCATAAATATGCACATACATAAATGAATATAACAAAGATGCAGAGAAATCATAATAAACTGGCACCAGTACTTACCTATGTAGAGAGCAGAGATTATGGAAAAGATGAAGGAGGATTTTCAGTTTTTGTTCTATACACTTGGTACTGTTTGACACCTTAGTTTGCCTTTATGTGTTATGAGTGAACAAATTATTTTCATAAAGATGGATTAGTAAAATAAAACAAAGGATTACATAATTAGGTCGTAATAAAAATATTTTAAATTAAATTAATATTCATTTGTGGTTTACTATATGCCTGTCCATTGCACACTCCTCCCAAGAACCTGAGAGATAGAATATACAGAAAGACAACGGCCAGACCAAGTATGACCTTCAAGCCTCAGCTATATGACTTACATGACTCTGATCCAACTTTGCAGCAACCAGTCCAAGAAGCCAAACCAGAGAGCAATAGGCACATAACAGCCAGAACTTGGTCAATGAGTACCAGGTTCCCTATTTTTTACCTGCTTCCAGCTCAGCACCAACCAAAGTCAAATATGTTCCCCCATCCATCACATGAGGTGCCCCACTTGTAATTAGCTAACCTCCCGCTTCCCCATGAGCACAGTCTCCAGTCAAGCACTATCTGAAATTCCTTCTCCTTTTTTCCCCTCTTCACTGTAAGGATTCCCCACTGCCCTGCCTGCCTTTGAGTCTTTGTCAAACGCAAGTGATGGGGGCTGACCCTCTTGCCATAGCAAGCTCTGAATGAATAGCCTGTTTGTTCTCATTTGGGAGGTCTTTGTCTGTTTCCTCAAACCCTGTGGTATTAAGTCTTGTAATTTTCTTTTCATAGAGGAGGAAGTTGAAGCGCAGAGAAATAAGTGATTTTCCTGGGGTCACTGAGCAAGAATAGGTGATGATGGATTTAAAACTCAAGTTCTTTCTCCAACCCAGATTTCAAGAGAGTAGAAATTTTATAATCTACCCAATCCTCTGGCCAATAGGCAATCCAGTAAAAGTAGAAATTGGTATTAAAAGTTTAAACACATTCATCTCAGGAAAAAAATCAATCACCTAAAATTTCAGAAACATGCCTCTAAAGCGAATAAAATAAAATGATGTCCAGGAAGAAATGAAGGACCAAAACGTTGGAGTCCTCTTTTTGACTAGTCTTTTTTCTCCCATGTCCCACAGCCGGCCGGTCTGTCAGGAAACCCTGTTGGCGCTGCTCTCAAAACCTCCCCACTTCTAATCACCTCCATTGCCGCCACCCTGGCCCAATTGCTGCAATAAATAACCTCATGGCCTTGCTGCTTGACCAGAGTCCCCTGCAGTCTATTCCCCACATAGCAGTCACAGGGATTCCATCAACCCTAAAAATGCCCTCCCCTTCTCTGTTCAAAACTCTCTGTGCTCTCATAGCATCAGAGTAAAAGCCAAAGTTCCGCACAATGTGGCCTTTCCTTTTTCCTCTCTGATCTCAGCTCCCGCCAGTCTGCAGAGAGGCTCTCTGCTTCAAAGAGTGGTTTGTTCCCTCTAATGAGTCTCTCTCAAGAGGCACATTTCTTTTTTATCCACTCATCCACTGATGGGCACTTTGGGCTGTTTCCAGATCTTGGCTATTGTAAATAATGCTGCAATGAACATAGGGTTGCATATCTTTTGAATTAGTGTTGTGGGTTTCATAGGCTATATTCCCTGACGTGGGATCGCTGGGTCAAAAGGCAGTTCCATTTTTAATGTTTTGAGGTAACTCCACACTGTTTTCCACAGTGGCTGGACCAACCCTGTGGTACATTTATACCTGGAACACTACTAGGCCATAAAAATAAGGAACGTTTACCTTTTGTGACAGCATGGATGGACCTGGAGAGTATTATGCTAAGTGAAATGAGCCAGTCAGAGAAAGACAAAAACCACATGCTCTCACTCATATGTGGAATCTAATGAACAAAATAAACTGACGAACAAAATAGAAACAGAGGCATAGATACATGGAACAGACTGACAGCTGTCGGAGACAAGGGCAGTTGGGGGACTGGATGAAAGAAAGTGAAGGGATTAACACATAGACACAGACAACAGTT